GTGTGTGTGTGTGTGTGAGAGTGTGTGTGTGTGTGTGCGTGTGTGTGTGTGTGTGAGAGTGTGTGTGTGTGTGTGCGTGTGTGTGTGTGTGTGAGAGTGTGTGTGTGTGTGTGCGTGTGTGTGTGTGTGTGAGAGTGTGTGTGTGTGTGTGTGAGAGTGTGTGTGTGTGTGTGTGCATGTAAGTGACAGTGTGGGTGAATATTTTAAAATGTGTTTAAAAATGTATTTGAAAAAAACAAATTTTTTCATAAATAATTGTTACTTGAATGTTATCTGAAATAAAATAAAATGAAAAAAAAATAAACCTATTTCTTTCAGCTAGTTTCAAGGCAGCATTTCTCATTTTCATTTAATTTAACTTGAAGTACTAAAAATAAAAACAAATTGAACTAAAAATAACACAAAACGATGACTAAACTTTAAAATCAACATGAAATCAGAAAATATAAAAAAATGTATAATTCAAAATATTAACAAAAACTATAATGGTATCTCAGTGATAATAAAATAACTCTTTGAGTGTTTATTATTATCCTTTTGCACTACCGACACACTATTTTCCTGTTTAATACTGTAAAGGTGCTTTGATACAATCTGTAATGTTAAAAGTGCTGTATAAATAAAGATGACTTGACTTGACTATGTCACATTTGAAGAAACACTTTAATGTCTATAAGACTGGAAATGTGTTTTCTCGCCACTGAAATACATTTTGAAATATATTTCGGTATATGACGGTTGAAACTAAATGTTTTCGATTTAAAAAATATACTGTTTCATTGAGCTTCACTGTTTAAACAGGGTCACCAAACTGGGTCCTGGAGGGCTGGTGTCCTGCAGAGTTTAGCTCCAGCTTGCCTCGCCACACCTGCTGAGAGGTTTCTAGTATGCCTCGTAAGAGCTTGATTAGCTGCTTCAGGTGTGTTTGATTGGGTTGGAGCTAAACTCTTCAGGACACCGGCCCTCCAGGACCGAGTTTGGGCCAATGTTTACAGTGTATATTAAGCATATACTTAAAATATATTTAGACCGGAAATATCTGTCCGCAGGCGGTCACCTGAACCCCGCCGTGTCTCTGGCCATGGTCATCCTGGGGAAGCTGAAGATCTGGAAGTTTCCCATCTACGTGATGGCGCAGATGTTGGGCGCGTTTGTGGGAGCGGCTGCAGTCTTTGGATTGTATTACGGTGAGTTTGAAGAATCCAGAGGTTTCCCACATGTTTGATGCATGTGATTAATGCGTGTGTGTGTGTGTGTGTGTGTGTGTGTGTGTTCAGATGCCTTCATGGACTTCACCAGCGGGATTCTGTCAGTCACAGGAATTAACGCTACAGGACACATCTTCGCCTCATACCCAGGCAGACACCTGACAGTGCTGGGCGGTTTCGTGGATCAGGTCAGTCTGTCTGTGCATCACTGAACTGAAAACACACATTCAGTCCGTGTTCACAACCGCAGACTGATGCCGTTTGACTAATGCACATTGATCGGCTGAACATTTCCACGCAGAAACACCAATTCAGTGTGAACCCGTGACCTAATTCAAGTCCTTCTGTCCCAAATAAACATGTCATGCTTTGAATTGCTCAACAAACAATTTAAGCCTAAATTTAAGATTAATGTATTTGAATTGCATATACAATTTGAATTATACAGTTTTAACATAAACAAACTGACATCTTAACGTGAAGCATACATAAATTAAATATATACATTTACTAAATGTATACAAAAAAAAATCGCCAACAAAGGCTTGCTAATCAATTAAAATAGTTAATAATGAACTGTACCATGATTTTTTGAGTGCAGAAATCTGACCTGATTTATTGATGCATTATTAGTGTATGTTTATGTTGCATGGAAATTTTATATACAATTCACATACATCTTAATTTTAGGTCTAAATATTTTGCATGTGCATGGTGGATCTGAATCAAAAACCATCAGTACAACATTCTACTTTCAATTATTTCCTAAATTTCCCAGGAGTTTAGAGGAATGACAAGCTCAGCTGAAGTTCGGGTTTGGGTTAGGTTAGGTTTAGTCTCGTGTAGCCAGACCTTCAGACTGACGGCTAAAGGTCTGGAATCCATGGCAGCTTTCATTGGCCAAGGCCCACCCATGAGGCCGTTTGACCGACATGTCAAACAACCAATCACAGTTTGTTTCGTTCACAATAACAGACTGGTGTGTAAAACTCTTTGATGTATTTTAAAGATTCTGTGCCGTGAACTTTAAATATTTCACATACTTTTGAAAATCCAGTGTTTAGTTGATCCTGATAAGCGCTTGTCGTCACAGTTGTAAACACGACGGCTTTCTTCTTTCGTGAGGGGGTTTGGCATCACAGCATTTTTGTTTCCAGGCAGAACATTAAAGAACGCAAGACACACATCTCCCGGAAATCCTGTATAATCTAACCAATCCGATGATGACTTCGAAACTCCTTAAGTGTTTCCACTTTTGTGTGCCATATGCATCAGATGTTCAGCCAGCGGTTCGTGGGCATGATGTCTGAGGCTGAGACTAGGTTAGGTTAGTGACCGGTGAATAACCGATCTCTATCTGTCCATCAGGTGGTGGGGACGGGAATGCTGGTCCTCTGTATTCTAGCGGTTGTGGACGGCAGGAACATCGGTGCTCCTCGAGGCGTGGAGCCGCTGGCTGTGGGTCTGATCCTGCTGGGCATCAGTGTCTCTATGGGACTGAACTGCGGTTACCCTCTGAACCCCGCCAGAGACTTGGGCCCTCGCCTCTTCACCGCCGCTGCCGGATGGGGCATGGAGGTGTTCAGGTATGAGTGATCAGGTGTTCAGGTGCGAGTGTGATCACGTGTTCAGGTACGAGTGTGTTCAGGTGCGAGTGTGATCAGGTGCGAATGTGATCAGGTACAAGTGTGATCAGGTGTTCAGGTGTGAGTGTGATTAGCTGTTCAGGTGTGAGTGTGATTAGGTGTTCAGGTACAAGTGTGATCACGTAAAAGTGTGATCAAGTACGAGTGTGACCAGGTGCGAGTGTGATCAGGTACAAGTGTGATAAGGTGTTCAGGTGTGAGTGTGATTAAGTGATCAGGTGTGAGTGTGATCAGGTACAAGTGTGATCAGGTGCGAGTGTGTTTAGGTACGAGTGTGATCAGGTGTGAGTGTGATCAGGTACAAGTGTGATCAGGTGCGAGTGTGTTTAGGTACGAGTGTGATCAGGTGTGAGTGTGATCAGGTATGAGTGTGGTGTGAGTGTGTTCAGGTACAAGTGTGATCAGGTACGAGTGTGATCAGGTGTGAGTGTGTTCAGGTACGAGTGTGATCAGGTACGAGTGTTATCAAGTACGAGTACGAGTGTGATCAGGTGTGAGTGTGATCAAGTACGAGTGTGATCAGGTGTGAGCGTGATCAGGTACTTGTGTGTGTGAGATGTGTGAGTGTGATCAGGTGTGAGCGTGATTAGGTGTTCAGGTATGAGTGTGATTAAGTACGAGTGTGATCAGGTACAAGTGTGATCAGGTGTTCAGGTGTGAGTGTGATTAGGTGTTCAGGTGTGAGTGTGATTAGGCGTTCAGGTGTGAGTGTGATCAGGTGCGAGTATGTTCAGGTACGAGTGTGATCAGGTACAAGTGTGATCAGGTACGAGTGTGATCACGTCCGAGTGTGATCAGGTACGAGTGTGATCAGTTACGAGTGTGATCAGGTGCGAGTGTGATCAAGTACGAGTGTGATCAGGTACGAGTGTGATCAGGTGTTCAGGTGTGAGTGTGATCAGGTGATCAGGTGTGAGTGTGATCAGGTACAAGTGTGATCAGGTGCGAGTGTGTTTAGGTACGACAGTTACGAGTGTGATCAGGTGCGAGTGTGATCAAGTACGAGTGTGATCAGGTACGAGTGTGATCAGGTGTTCAGGTGTGAGTGTGATCAGGTACAAGTGTGATCAGTTATGAGTGTGATCAGGTGCGAGTGTGTTTAGGTACGAGTGTGATCAAGTACAAGTGTGATCAGGTACGAGTGTGATCAGGTGTGAGTGTGTTCAGGTACAAGTGTGACCAGTTGTGAGTGTGTTCAGGTACAGGTGTGATCAGGTACGAGTGTGATCAAGTACGAGTGTGATCAGGTGCGTGTGTTTAGGTACAAGTGTGATCAGGTGTTCAGGTGTGAGTGTGATTAGCTGTTCAGGTGTGAGTGTGATTAGGTGTTCAGGTACAAGTGTGATCACGTAAAAGTGTGATCAAGTACGAGTGTGACCAGGTGCGAGTGTGATCAGGTACAAGTGTGATAAGGTGTTCAGGTGTGAGTGTGATTAAGTGATCAGGTGTGAGTGTGATCAGGTACAAGTGTGATCAGGTGCGAGTGTGTTTAGGTACGAGTGTGATCAGGTGTGAGTGTGATTAAATACAAGTGTGATCAGGTATGAGTGTGGTGTGAGTGTGATCTAGTATGAGTGTGATCAGGTGTTCAGGTGCGAGTCTGATCAGGTATGAGTGTGATCAGGAGTTCCAGATCAAGTGTGTTCAGGTACGAGTGTGATCAGGTGTTCAGGTGCGAGTGTGATCAGGGGTTCCGGAGCGAGTGTTTATGTATGAGTGTGATCAGGTATGAGTGTGATCAGGTGTTCAGGTGTGAGTGTGTTGAGGGTTGACATAATTTTGCCATCTACTGAAATACTTTGCATTACATGCTGTCTAGTAGGGCTGTGCAAAAAATCGAATGTGATTTTCATGCACATCTCATCAGTAAAGCCGCTTCTGGTGATTAGTAAATCTCCAGCATGTGCTTTCAGATGAAGCGGCATTTACTACACAGAGCCGTAAATCACTGACAAGCAACAAAAAAATCGCTTTCAAGATCGGCAATGAAAATGCTTTAAGCGCCACCTGCTGGCAGAGAGTGAATCTGCATCTCGTTTAGCTCGTCTGCTGTTTCTGTTTCATGCAGATATTTTTTATGTATAGTTTCACAAAACTGAAGTCAAACCATTCTGTTTTTGCTTCAAATTTCGAAATTATGCAATCTAATTTAGATTAAAAACTGCACATGTTGCATGTATGCAGCAGCTTTGTTTGGATCGTGATTAAAATGCAGTGGTTGTCTCTCATTTTAAATGGAAAGAGCACAGACAAAGCCTTAGTTTGTTTATATGAAGAGATTTATTTTATTTGTGTTATTTATTTGATTTGTTTTTTTGTTTTTTTTCAATTTAGTTTTGTTATTTACATTTATATTATATTTAAATATTGTCATTTAGCAGACGCTTTTATCCAAAGCGACTTACAAATGAGGACAATAGAAGCAATCAAAACCAACAAAAGTGCTATATTAGTATATTATTATAGTGTTATATTTCAATTTCACAAAGAAATGTGCAACATTTTGTCCAAGAAATAATAAAAGTACACATTTAATTTATAATTTGTCTTAAATCTCATTTTGTAAAAACAAAAACAAACCGTGAATCGAATCGAATCGTGAAATCAAAATCGTGAATCGAATCGTGAGTTGAGTGAATCGTTACATCCCTACTCTAGACCTAAGGTTTTATTTTCAGTTATTAATGCTGTTGTGAATCCCCCGGTTAATACAATGTCTACTGCTTCTGAGGCTCTATGTGAAAGCTTCTTGAGATTTTTCATTGATAAAATCTCTAATCTGAGACAACATATGCCCTTCTCATACTGAACCCTCTATCCCGTCGTTGCATTTTGCTTCCTGTGATGTTTTTGAACCTATTTCTCTGCAACTACTTAAATATACCATTGTTAATATCAAATCATCTTTTTGTTCTTTTGATATCATACACCCTAAATTTTTTTAATGAATTGTTGATTCTGTTGGCCGGATTGTTGTCTCTTTTTAATAAGTGTCTTTGTACTGGCTCTGTCCCTGCTGCCTTTAAAGTGGCTACTGTCACTCCTATACTCAAGAAGCCTTCACTGGATTCTTCTGTTCTGAATAACTTTCGTCCTATTTCTGTATTACCATTTATCTCAAAGGTATTGGAAAAAATTGTGTTTGATCAACTCCAGTCTTTTCTCAGTTGCAACGGTATTTCTGAAATTTTTCAATCTGGCTTTAAGTCTGCACATAGCACCGAATCTGCCCTCTTGAGAGTGCTAAACGACATTTTTTTATCTACAGACTCTGGCGACTCTGTGGTCATTCTTTTTTATCTATCAGCAGTATTTGACACTGTTGGCCACTCTACTTTGATATCTAGATTAGAGTCTTATGTGGGGATAAAAGGAACCGTCCTTAAGTGGTTTCAGTCATACCTTACGGAGAGAAAATTCTTAGTTAAGTTAGGTAACTTTTCTTCTTCTGTTGCTCATCTAACCTGCGGTCTTCCTCAAGGCTCTATCTTGGCGCACTCTCTTTTCTCTCAGTACATGCTACCTCTGGGAACCATTCTAAGAAGACGTGGGGTGTCTTTTCATTTTTACGTCGACGATACCCAAATTTACCTACCTATCAAGAGAAATGATCCCTCTGCATTTCCTTCTTTACTAAAATGCTTATATGAAGTCAAATTTATGCTAGTCCAAAAATGTTTATTCTTAAACGAAGATAAGACTGAGGTGATTGTTTTTGGGCCCTCTGTCAATTCTCAGGCAACCAGCTTAGATCTGGGTAGTTTATCAGTGTTTAGATCTTCACGTGTACGGAACCTGGGCGTTTTGTTAGATGAGTCCTTAAACCTTAACAAACATATCTCCTCTGTAATAGGTTCTAGTTTTTATCAACTTCGCCTGCTATCAAAAATCAAACCTTTCTTAAATCATAAAACTTTAGAGATGGCTGTTCATGCTTTTATCACCTCATGCTTAGACTACTGCAATTTCCTATACTGTGGTAGTTCTAAGTCTTTAATTGATCGCCTGCAGCTAGTTAAAAATGCTGCTGCCAGATTCCTTCATAATAACCGCAAAAGCGCTCACATTACTCCAATCTTCCCTTCATTGGCTACCTATTAAAATCGGAATTTATTTTAAAATCCTTTTTTTTAAATATAAATCTTTACATGATCTAGCCCCTATCTATTTATCTGAATTGCTGTACCCATGTACTCCCTTCCAGCTAAGATCCAGTGATCAGAATCTTCTTCTAGTCCCACAATCCAGACTCTGTAGAGGAGGTAACAGAACATCCGTCTCAATGCAAATTGTAATTAAGATATTCTGTGTACTGTTTTTTGGTCCAATAAGTAATAATGTCTTATCCAAATTTAGCTTAGATAATTTAGTTAGCTTAGATAATTTAGAAGTTTCATCTGGTCTTGTTGAAATATATAGTTAATATATCATCAGCATAACAATGGAAACTAATCCCATCTTTTCTAGTATTACAAAGGGGCAGCATGTATATTGAAAATAGCAGAGGACCTAAGACAGATCCTTGCGGCACTCCATACTTTACTGACATTAACTGAGGTGGTTCTCTGTTTTAATAGACAAAGTGGTAACAGTTGGACAGGTAGGATCTAAACCATCTTAAAACCTATTATGATGACTTAGCTATATAGTATGATAATTTGGTGATATATTGTGATGATTCGGTGATAGATTATGATGATTCACTGATATATTATGATGACTTGGTGATATATTGTGACAATTCTGTGAAAAATTGTGATGATTCTGAGATATTTTATGTTGATTTTGATTGATATATTGTGATTGTTTGGCAACGATTCAATGATGATGGTTTGGTGATATATTGTGATGATTCAATGATATATTATGATGATTCAGAAATATAATGATTCTGTGATATGATTTGGTGGTATATTATGATGATTTGGTGAAATAATGATTCTAAGATATGATGATTTGGTGATATATTGTGGTAATTTGGTGTGTGTGCAGCACTGCAGATTACTGGTGGTGGATTCCTGTCGCCGGGCCGTTGGTAGGGGGCATCGCCGGTGCTGTGATCTACTTCCTGTTGATCGAGCTTCATCACACCAACCACAACGACAGACCTCACGAAGAACCCGAGGAAGAGGAGGATGAGGACGAGGACGAAGACGAGGACAGCAGCCTGAAGGACAAATACGAGATGATCAACATGAGCTAGAAACCCGAGATCAGTAGAATTCCTGTCACGAAGTAAAGCCGGTAAACTCATTTTCACACGCTGTTTACATGAGTAAACTCATCAGTGACACCAGCAGACCTCCGTCCACCTTCACAGCTCAGACAATGAACAGGTTTGCACTGATTGATTCATGTAAGTGCTTTAACTAAATTCAAGCTTCACGTCTGTAAACCCATCTTTCCCATAATCCCCCACTGCACATAATATTTGATTGTATTTTGCTGATGGTTAATATTATATTATACTGAACCCAGAACACTCGATTCAATGGCTTTTATACCTTTAAATGAATGGAAGCGTGTCAGGATCCTGTCAGGAACTCTGTTCAGATTAAAGCAAGATTCACCACACAAAAGCACACTGACAGCACTGATCATGAAACGACCTGACAAACATGCTTGTCTGAACACGACCATCACGTCACAAGCCTTGATGTAATGGTTCACTGCAAAGATTAGCGTTTGTCTGCGAAAGATTTTCCACTAGATCACCATTGTTGAGTTTTCATGTTAAATTTAAATTTTATTTCACCTTGTTGTCATATATTGTTTGTAATATTTATGGTTATGTGTTTGTAGATCAGGCTTGTTTTTGAAAGTCTTTCGTAAAAAGTAGATCTTTTGTAATGATGAAATCCTGCGACTTCAACTGTGTATTTGTGTTTTTTGCTGAAATAAACTGAACTGTTGCGGCAGATTTGTCTTGCTTACAAACAAGCATCAGATATTTGCATGTGTAGGTTGTGTTCAGGTCTGGACAAATCTGCTGCTGTCTGCTGAGGCTGAACGACAGAAGACATTCATCTCCATAAACACTGAAGAAAATGTCATGTTATGGTTATTACAGGTCATTATCGTTTTGGCTTTTTAATTTAGTTTAAGTGTTTATGTCTTTTTAATTATTGTTCAACTTATTGTCAATGATTTTGTTTGTTAGTTTTAGTTTTCCAGTTAATTTTATTTTAGTATTTTTATTTATGGACACATGACCAGTCCAGATTACATAGGTCTACAGTGTACAGCTAGTTTGGTAAAGACAACCAAGAAGGACTTGTTGACAAATGTGCTTTATTTAATTGTGCTTTATGAAAGGCCCCGCCTCTGACATGGTGATGACCAATCATAGTGTGGAATTTTATCATGGCACCCCAGATGACCAATAACATTTTAGGGGCGGTTCACGTCTCTTTATGCTACACATCTGAGCATGCCACAGCTGAATATATATATATATATCAATTCAGCCTTTTCAAGTTTTGAAGCAGTGTATGACAGTTATGGTCAGTGTTACTTTTAGTAAAAATAATTTTTACTAAAATGCTTCTTTTTCAAGGAGTAGGATATCTTGTGCAGTTACAGATGACTTTAATAAGTGTTGCTTTCACTTTCAATTTACTGGAAGTCGCTGTTTGAAACAAGCGCTGGCTTGATCTCAGGCGACAGATATGATCTATTTCCAATAAAACAATGAATCAGACGCTCGTTCAGACCCTGATCAGAGTGAAACAAGCTCTTGAGAATAACAACTGTGACGTTATTCTTCTGAAGGAGATCTCATGCAGGAGAAGCATTTGCTCATCTAATGGAGATCAATCAAAACTTCAGAACGCTTTTAGTGGCAGGTTTTCTCTTTCCAATTAACCCACTGTACTTTCCCTCTTGAAAGGGTGCCAGAGCCAGCAGCTAATCGGAGCAGAGAGTCTCTCAGGCTCCGCCCCTCTCTCTCTCTCTCTCTCTCTCTCTCTCTCTCTCTCTCTCTCTCTCTCTCTCTCTTCAGTCAGACTCTCGTCCTCGAGGAGCAGAAGAGCACAAACTCCTGAACCCTTCAGATGATCATGAGAGTCCTGAGAGCTTTCCTCCTCATGAGTGCTGTCGCAGCGTCTGTGAGAGGAGATGCAAACCTCACAGGTAAGAGCATGCTTCCTGATCCACCAGCCGGGTTAAAGCATGCCATGGAGCTCTTATTTTAGACTGACACAGCAAACTTCACTGTCTAATTGCATGTTCTCAGAGAAGCTCTTTGAACGTTTGCCATGGAAAGTCCTGAAAGCCGCAGGACGGCGTGATGGGATGGGGCTCCGTGCTCTGAAATTACACATCTGGGTTTAATTTTAGCAGAGACTCCTCCAGTAAAGACGGTGCTGAAGTCCAGCTTCCATCTGTATCACGAGGGCAGTGTGTTTGAGGAGACCTGCGCCGTGGTCCCATTCCGGTCCGAAACCCTCCACAGATGCGCCTACAACCGCAGTGACCCGCTGGTGCTGATTATACACGGCTGGACGGTGAGAGACACAACACAAAACGGCCTTTATGGCTCGGAAGAAGGTCTTAAGAAGTCTCAATTCCCCCCTCCACAAATTATTGAGAGCAGAAACTCTTAAATTCATAAAGTCACAGCATTAAATGTTGCACGCACTGCAAAGAATGAATATCTTCCTCAGTATTTTTGTCTTGTTTTCCAGTACACATATCTAAACATCCTTAAATCAAGATACATTTACAAGAACAAGAATAACAAGAATAATCCTTAGAAGAACAATAGGGCCCTTAGGGCTTGGGCCCTAAATATCTGTCAGTAGGGAATAAAAACTTGTTTTCTGATTCCATTGGCAGATATTTGTTGCCATTTTAATCAAAAACTCACTTAAGGAAGCATTAAACACCTAAAACAAGGCTTTGTATCTCATGTCATTTTGCATCTCCAGTAAATGTATCTAGATTTAAGGATCTTTAAACATTTGCACTGGAAAAGCAGACAGAAACACTGAGGAAGACCAGCACTTTAATGCAGTGTGATCAGAAGGAACAGTAGAAGATATTCCAGTATTCTAGCGTTTGAGCAGACAGGAAGCTCCTCGAGACGGAGGACACGGGAAAGACTTTGAGCGATGGCTTTGTTTTGGCGCATGTTTGAGTGTGAATGACGTCAGCTCTTCCTGCTGCTCTCAGATGAATGGACGCATGGAGCCCTGGATCTTTGATCTGGCTTCTGCGCTGAAGGTCCGGCTCGAGTGGGTCAATGTTCTCATCAGTGATTGGAGGAAGCTGGCGCTTCAGCCGTATCCAGTCGCAGCCAAGAACAGCAGACAGGTGGGGAGGGACGTGGCCGCGCTGCTCAAATGGCTGGAGGTAATGAAGGTCTTGAGCGGAAACGTTTGCTGAACCAAACCCAACACAAACCTTATTTCTGGGGTTCTCCGAAGGGGAAGTCATCATAGTTGGGTAAACCTGTATAGTGGTGAACGGAAGCGACAGCAAATATATGTTTTGTGTTCCCATTTGCTCTTCTATGACTCTTCAACAGAGGATAAAATATGGAGAGATTGATTAACCCAGCTAACAAAAATATGTTTTGAGAATATGTTTCGCTAGCTTCCCCAATCACTTTTTGAGCATAGACAAGAAACTTAAACTGCTGTAAATCTTGAATGTCTTGAAGCACAGACTTGTTTCAGTTTGGTTTCTTAATAAAGATGACACTTTGCAGACTGAAGTGGAAAAGGCTAAAAAATAAATAAATAAAAACCAAAATAAGTTGTAAAAATAATGTTCATTATTATGAATAATGCACAAAATACTAATTTTATATTAGAAATATGTATTTTTCAAAACATGTATGAAAATCAAAGGCATAAATCTAAACAAGCTGTGTTCCAAATTTGAGGTTGACATCTCAAAAAATGAGATTTCAGTCAGATTTAGTTTGGGTGCAGCGCCTAACGTTTCCACTAGATTCAGCTCCCATTTTCAACTGCAAACAGTACAAGTCTGATTAATGTTTTTCTCTACTGACTCTGGCGACGCTGTGGTCATTCTTTTAGAGCTATCAGCAAGTTTACCAGGTTTCGTACCATTCCGATGAAGTACAATAAAAAAAAATAATAATAATAATAAAAAAAACTATAAAAATTCTTCAGTCAAAAATGGCCGAACAGGGTTAAATACAAATTTTTCTTGGTTATACGAATGCCAAGCAAACAATCCATTGTATCATTTTGCAAACATTATTGGAATTGTTACTTTTGAATGTTCTCTCAACATTCTGAAACAAGAAGCAACATTTAAGAAACTTAAACAGGATGAAAATGCTCTGTGAACAATGTATAAATATTAGCATTATTAAAGACCAGATAACTTTGAGCAAACATTCTATTACACCGCGTCCTAACTATACGCGACGCCGAGTGAAAATCTTTTCCATGTTAATCTTTTTGTCCTAACCAGCCGCTGGAACAACAAACTGTGAAAATGATCATCTCAAGTACTGATTATGTCTTATTCAAAGTTAAAAGTGTCTAATGTGAGTTTGAATATCATATTGTGTGACATTTATAACCATACTGAAAGCAACAATAGATAGTTTACCTCAGATCTTGAAAATAAAGCAAAAAAGCAAACCATCGAGTGTATTCCATAACAAAGGTGGTATCAGTCACTCAGTATGTACTTTTAATAATGTTAAAAGGGTTTAATATTTATGAATTACGTTATAATCGAGTGCAGTGCGACTCTGGGAGGCTGTGATATTTGAATCTAAGAGTGAACCGCTTGAGTCCTGATGGCACTTCCTCTCTGGACAGGAAGTGGCGCAGCTCTCCATGGATGACGTTCATCTGATCGGCTACAGTCTGGGAGCGCATGTGGCCGGATTCGCTGGAAGCCATTTCAGAGGACTGAGGAAAGTTGGCCGCATTACTGGTAAGATGAAGCCAAGCACGTGATCAGACAGGATTTATCAGATCTGGAGATTCATCTCAGCGACTGTCACTCCGTCCCAGACGAACATGAACCATAAACATCAGAGCCACAAGCACACACATGCTAGAGAAGCCTTACCTTCAGATTTCATCAGAATACACAGCTGAATGTTTGAGCACACAATGGTGCAGGCCATCATCTGACCGCTGGTGATGGGAATTACGCTTCTTTTTAGGGATCCGGATCATCGGCTCAGCTCAGCAAAAAGAACCGTCTCTTTCGGCTCCCAAACAGCTCTTTATTTAGTACCAGTTCTGCCTTTTATGTTCCCCCTCGGTCTCGCATGGCAAAAATATCATGATTCACGATTTAATCACGATTATTTGTCATGTTGGTTTTTCTGTTTTGCAAGCTGTTTGAGCATTACAGCCAAACTGATTTACCTATTATAAAGACAAAGCCTTTCAAGGTAACAAAATATACAAAAGTATGGCAGATATTTAGGTGGGTGAAGATAAAAATCTGTCATTATTTTATCTTTGTTATTAAAAAATGAGAACAAACATACACATTACAAATACACATAGTATACGAATAAAATAAACAGTGTATTTAGCAGGAGCATTCAAAAAATTTAATTAACAAATATAAAAATAAAACACTATATACATTGATTCCTATTAAAGCAGCTGTATTAAAGTTTTTCAGTCAAGAGTAGTGAGTGATCTTTCTCTTTGTGTTTGGTGTTTTATTAACATTAAAGGAACAATTCACCCAAAAATTAAAATAGGCTAGTGTTTTATTTTTATACCTTCATTTACTCACTCAAAAGCTGTTTTAAACCTGAATGAGTTTCCTTCTTCTGCTAAACATAAACGCTATTTTGAAGAAGGTGGAAGACCAAACAGTTGCTGGTCCACAGTGACTTCCAGAGTTTTTTTCCTGCTATCAAAGTCAATGTGGACCAGTGACTGTCTGGTTTTCCACCTTCTTCAAAACATCTTCTTTTGTGTTCAGCACAAGAAAGAAATTAATATAGGTTTGGGACAACATGTGAGTGAATAAATAATGACAGAAATTAAATTTTAGAGTGAACTATCCCTTTAATTACAGTCGGCAGCATGTAGCCTACTGTCCTTTTAAGAGCTGCACGCATCTAATATACAGGCACGCGTCCTTTTCTCTCAGTTGTTTACTTTAATTTTAGACATAACCAACTGAGTCTATACATAAACCTTGTGTGTTTTGACAGTATTAGCACAAAACATAACTTAGTTCAGTAATCAGGCACTGTTTGACAGGCTTTTTCGTTGAAATGTTTAACCAGTAAGGCTTTAAAGCAAATGCAAAAAATGTACTTTTGTGATTGTGAATAAGTGCAGAGTCCCGTGAGAGTAACTCTGCCGCTGAGTTAACACTGATGTTAATGTATGTCTCGTTGTACAGTATATTGATTCGGCGGCGCCAGAACTGCAGCTGATAGAATGTGCGCTGTAGCGCGATGCTACGATATTTCTTCAAAAGCAGAACGTGGAGACATTTTTATCGTCCACAATCAAAAATCTTCATACCGCACACCCCTACCCTCGGCAGAAATCGTGGACCGCAAGGGCACTTTAGCGTCGGACCTCAAAGGGGCAGGGGCTCAAGCTTTTTTTCAATGTTTTTGTTTTTGTGTTTATGCACACACAAAGTAAATTTTTTGTTGTTTGTTGATTTTGAATATAACACTTTGTGAAAGGATTTATGTGTCAGTAGTTTTTGAACATTTCCAGCACATTTTAACAATACCGAGATAATACTGATAACTGTGATCATTTTGGTCACTATAATCGTGATAAGAAATTTTCATACCGTCACATCTCCAATCACTAGAATGAAGAAGTGTAGATCTTAACATGACTCAGATGTGTAGAGATGCCCGCGTTCTCCACCGGTGTCTTTCAGAGTCCAGGTCTGGATGAAGCACATGAAGTGTTTGTGTGTTTGCCGCAGGTCTGGATCCGGCCGGGCCATACTTCGAGGGTCTGCCGGCGTTTGACAGACTGTCTCCGGACGACGCTCAGTTCGTGGATGCTGTCCACACCTTCACCGGCTCCAGCATCGTGCCGGGCATGGGAATAAAGCAGAGCGTCGCTCACGTCGACTTCTACCCCAACGGGGGCTCCTTTCAGCCCGGCTGCGAGATGCTGGACATTTACAGCAACGTCTTCCAGTACGGCCTGCAAGGTACAGCTGGACAAAATATGGACACATTTGATAAGATTAATTTGCATTTATTTACATAAGAGGCCATTCAAACTGGACGTGTTCTTGTGTTTTTGATTAATTACACAAAACGCAGAAATCTTTTTTAAAACGTTTTTAAAAGATGAGTCAGATTCAGAAGCAGCTGAATGAGGAATATGTCTTGGTGACTGAAGCTTGCAGTGCACAGCAGACTTATTATATCATATATGAACTAAATATAAACTATATATTAACCATTGTTATATATTAACTAAAACTAAAACCATAAAAACATAAAATATTTTTTTTACTTGAAATAAAATATAAAAAAACTGAAATTTATATTATTGATGCTAGTTTCTAGTTTAACTTGATGACTAAAGTAAATAAAAGTACAATTAAATTAAAATGTATCATAACTATATAGACATGCTTACATTAAAAACAACAAAAAGTAATAAAAATGACAAAAAACTAAATTACTAAACTGTAACTGAAATGAACATGAAAATATATCATATATAAAAATATATATAAAATATCACTGCAAAAAATGGTTATCTTTCTCGTTTTCTAGTACAAATATTTAAAGGTTCTTGAATCAAGATTAGCAAAATGGCTTATGATATTAAGCAATGTTTTATGAAAAATTTATCAAAATGTTGTTAATTTTTGCTTATTAAAAAATCTGCCAATGGGGTAAGAACAATAATTTAAATTCAAAGGGAAACAATATTATTTTTCTTGCCCTGATAGCTTTTTTTTTTTTTTCAATTTAAGCAAAAACATACATAATTTTGATAAATTTTACAGAAAACAAAACTTAATATGTTAAGTCATTTTGGTAATCAAGTGAATGCATCTTTAATACAAATAATATTTAGATATTTGTACTAGAAAACAAGTTTAGTAAATGGTTATACTGCACATGAGATGATGCATTATGCGGATTGATGAGGCTTTCTGTGCTTTAAAACAAAAACATTGCGCTTATGTGAAACAGCAGACTCAACTGAAATGCGTCTGCCTAGTGCATATTTACATACACCCAACGATTAAAAATAGAGTGCAAGCAGCGCCTCACCTGCTGTTTCACAGCACAGTGAACATAGTCATTTCCACACAGATAATTGCTTAATTTTCTTTTGCATGATTTCTGAATGCTTGAGACTATAAAATCAGTCAGACAACTGTATCAATAAAATCATAGCTATAGGTAACTACACGTTTTGGTTTAAAATTATCCCTACCAAAACAGTCACTACTGAAACATTTGGTGGAGTTTCGGTAGTGACATCTTTGTTTTTTTTTCCGGTGTTACCCCATAAAATTGTCATTACTGAAAAAGTCACTACTGAAACATTTTGTGGTTTCGGTAGTGAAATCTTGTTTTTTGGGAGTTATCCAAATTTTATGGGATTAAAAAAAAACAGTCACTACCGAAACATTTGGTGGAGTTTTCGGTAGTGACATATTTGTATTTACATTTACATTTAATCATTTAGCAGACGCTTTTGTCCAAAGCGACATTTTGGGAGTTATCCCATAAAATTGTCACTAACGAAACAGTCACTCCCGAAACATCTGGTGGCGTTTTTGTCCAAAGCGACTTTTATGGGTGTTTTGGGTGTTATCCCATAAAATTATCACTACCAACACAGTCACTACTGAAACATTTGGTGGAGTTTCAGTAGTGAAATCTTGCTTTTTGGGAGTTATCCCAATTTTATTGGATAACACCCAAAATACAGTCACTACCGAAACATTTGGTGGTGTTTTCGGTAGTGACATCTTTATATTTACATTTACATTTATTCATTTAGCAGACGCTTTTGTCCTAAGCGACTTTTTGGTTGTTATCCCATAAAATTATCACTACCAAAGCAGTCACTACTGAAACATTTGGTGACATATTTGTTTTTTGGGCGTTATCCCATAAAATTGTCATTATCGAAACAGTCTCTACCGAAACATTTGGTGTAGTTTCGGTAGTGACATTTTCTTTTTTTACATTTAAATTTATTAATTTAGCAGACGCTTTTATCCAAAGAAACTTTTTTGGGTGTTATCCCATAAAATTGTCACTACCGAAGCAGTCACTACTGAAATGTTTGGTGCAGTTTCAGTAATTATATATTTGTTTTTTGGGAGTTATCCCATAAAATTGTCACTACTTAAACCAGGGCTGCCCAACCCTGCTCCTGGCGATCGACTCTCCTGCAAAGTTCAGCTCCAACCTTAATCAAAAACTCCTGAAGAAACAAATTAGGGTATTCAGAATCACTTAACAATTAAAGGCAGGTGTCTTTGATTAGAGTTGGAGCTAAACTTTGCAGGACAGTCGATCGCCAGGAGCAGGGTTGGGCACCCCTGACTTAAACAGTCACAACCGAAACATGTCATCATTGTTTTGGTAGTGACAAAAGGGCACACATAATCCTCGTATTATAAAATTCTGTAATGAGATGTGGTTGCTACAAAAGCATTACTGTCACTACCGAAAATGTGCAGTCACTACCGAAACATGGGATGTTTTGTCAAAAATAAAGTATACTGAATTATCAGCTAAAATGTTATGATATTGTTTGGTTCAATGTATATTCAAACTAATGAATCCTTGACTTTGAAATGAGTATGATCAATATTTTGCCTTTTACAAAGAAAAATTGGGTTCAAAATACAACAAATCTCATAAATACAGTTGAAATATTTTAAAAAATGTAATTGTTATTCATTTAATTAAAAAATTCAAGTATTTTTGATTTTTTCATAAAATAGCAAAAAAAATATTTACATTCGAATTAAATTATTATTACTTTGTTTCGGTAGTGACAAATATGGGATATGAGAATTAACTGCACAATTACTAGAAATATGTATCTTGGATATTATACAATTTGCATACATACAATTTTTTTTGGAAAAAATATATTTTTTCAAGATGTTTTCAACTCTGACTTTGAACCTATATGTATATATATATATATATTAGCAAAAAAAAATTCAAAATATTTTTACGTATTTTTTTTACCGTTTTTGTATTTTTTTTTTATTAATTTAAAAACATAAAAAAATATATTTAAAAGCATTAAAATTATATTTTGCCCTATATATTTTTTTATTTTTTGTTTCAAAATAGGGTTAGGGTTGTAGATTTTTTTTAAAAACATGATTTAAAAATATCAATATATATATATATATTAAAGCATATAAAACATATTTCAACATATATTCATGTAAATATTTATTAGCCAATTTTTCTATAGTCTTGAAAATATATTTTAAAAAACATTTGTTTTTCACAAACATGTTAATCACATTTTCTTGGGGGGGGGTTTGCATTATTCCTGGACAGTAGAGATATGACAGGAAGTGAGTGGGAGAGAGAGAGAGAGAGAGAGATGGGGGGTGGGAACGGGAAAGGTCCACAAGGCAGGATTCGATCCAAGGACACCCAAAGCGCAACTGCACCATGTGTCGGCGCTGCCCACAAAACTATCGGCGCCGATGTTAGAAAAAGAAAGTATATTACAGTATTACAAAAAATGTATACATATAGTTTTGTTCTCTGGTAGGTTTTCAATCCATATTAGCATTTAGCCTACATGTAGAATACTGTAAGATTGTAAATGCCCCTGAAATACATTTTGAAATTAAATATATTTCCTATTTCATACATATTGTTAGGGTTAGGCTTAAGCCCTGTTTTAGCCTCAATATATTTGCTATATGGGAATATTTAATAAACCGCAGTGGATATTTAAATTAACAATTTATAGAACCTTTAGATAAAATATAAAAGAAAATCTTGCATGTGTTTTGTTTAGTATCATAGTTGATCATCAGGCTTTTATGGCTCATATAGAAGAAGAATATGAAGGAAAAACAGTTCAGTTTTATTCGGAGACTCAAACTGAGCAAAAATATGAATTTTCTGCAAATGCTAATATTTATATGCTGAAATTCTGATGCTTGTGATGTAAATCAATGAGATCTTTATTTTATGTCAGTATCTGCTGTACTGTTATAATCTAAATATCAGCGGTCGCTCTATATCTGCAGTAATATGTCTCAGTAAGATGAGAGTGAAATGCTCCAAACATATAATGCAGTGATTGAGAGCTGAAGAAATAAAGGCTCCTCAGAAGATGTGAGATGTTCTGGAGGCTTGTGAAGATCATTCCTCCGCTGAGGAACAGTGAAAGTAAAGCTTCTGGAAACAAACGCTCCTCAAAAGATCCTGAGGATCAGATTTGAGACTCTAAAACATGATTGATGGAGAATCAAGTAAAGCTGAGCTGCTTCAGTCCAGGGAGTGGAGATATGACTGAGTTATTGTGGCGTCTGCAGGCATCAGGAGAGCGGCGCTCTGAAGTCCTTCTCGTCTCTGCTGGCGGTGGCGTCGGATCTGGGCCGGCTCCGCTCCGTCAGGCTGGTCTGGAAGGGAGATCTGGTCTGGTCCAGCTGGATGAGGCGCGTCAGGAACATCTTGAGCTGGAACAGCTCCGATCAGGATCTGGAGATCAGTGTCTGGAGGATCTGCATCAAATCAGGAGAGAGTCAGGAGAAGTGAGTTTCTGTTTCTACTGAATACTGTGTCAAACACTGAAGTCCTCATATTCTCAGTTGCTTTTGGACATTCCTCAAATCATCTTTAGCAATTGCATATATTTGAAATATCATATATAATTTAAAAGCATTTGAAATATATTTTGCCCTCCATATATTTCAGTCAAAAAATACATTCACGTCATATTTGAAGAAAAATATGTGTACATATATACTGTATACAGTGGTGGCCTAAATGATTACAACACTAGTATTATCAGCAGCTAAAAATGGGTTTCAGTCAGTTATTTCTATCTGTTGCTGGAGTGTGTCAGTAGGAAATATCAGCTTACATTTCCAAACATTCATTTAGCCATTAATTGTAATAATCAGTGAGATTTTAGTGCTCCACACAGAGATCTGAGCCTTAAACCGTTAACAGCGCTGTAGCTTTGCAGGAAGCTGTCTTGAAGCGTCTTGGAGACACGGTTCTTCTTCAAAACACTTCAGCATGTTGTCAAGAAGCAGTGTGCATTTCATTAGCAGTTTCTTCACTTTTTTTCACTGACAAAATTGAGACGATAGTCTTTGTCATTCAAAACTTTTCAGAAGCTGATGAAAATCTATTGGAAAATTTTGGGCATTTAATAAAAATACAGAAGAAGAAATTTTAGAGAAATACTTAATACATTACAGTTTAGCTAAATTTAGATTTATAAATGTACTGTAGATTTAGTCGACTAATCACTTATAATCTTTACTAACACTAGACTAAAACACTATTCAGATGACTAAAATTAAATAACTTTTTAATCAAAAGACTGACTAAAAATCTAAATTAACTAAGAATTCTTAATGTATGGGAAACTGATCAAAACGAAGTGAGTTTATGATTAAAACAAGAACAAATATCTGTCACTTGGCTCAGAAAAATCAGCTTCATCCAAAGAGAAACAAGTTTTTATTCCCCACTGACTGATATTTGTTAGTTTTAATCATAAACACAACATTGTTCATATCATCATTTTTAAGGATGTTTAGATATTTGAACTGGAAAACAAACACATTTGTTTTGTAATTTGTGCAACATTAAGCATGAATGTAAGGCTTTCTGCTGATTTGAGGACTTGTTTTAGACTGATGCTCAGATGATGGAGGGCTAGACTGTTAAACACTAGATCACACGGGCTCTGATTGATCGTGGCATCAGCTATTGATCATGTATCAGGAACAGCCCAGCGGTCATTGGCTGGAAATAGGAAGTTCATCCCACACGGAGATAACTGTAGGCCGGCATGTTTGATGTTCAGTTTACATCAAATCACGTCATGTCAAGTTTTTGACGTCAGTTTAATTTGCATATTTGACCTGTTTTTTGATGTGAACCTGATGTCTTTTAAACATCGATTGGCCTCTGGAAGCAGTCAACATGAATAAAGCAAAGCATTCGCTCAAACCGATGAGAAACTGTTTATGACGACGTGATCAGATGATGTGCAGAGATCTAACAAATGCAGCAAAGCCTCTGAGAAAACTGATGTTAATGCATGCGCTGAAGACATTGCTGTGAACGCTTAAGCCAAGTTTAACTCTATATGATTATTTTCTCTTGAAAGAAATGGTTAATATCAATAACGCAGAAGTTCTGCTGGTTTCTGTGCATGAAAATACAGATCACAGCAGTCCAGTTCAGTTTGCTGCTTCATTACAATTATAAGAGTATTATGTGACTCGAGCACAAAAGCAGTGTTGAGTCGCTGGGGGATATTTGTAGCAATAGCCAACAATACATTGTATGGGTCACAATTATACATTTCTCTTTTATGCCAAAAATCATTAGGATATTAAGTAAAGATCATGTTCCATGAAGATATTTAGTAAATGTCCTACCGTAAATATATCAAAACTTAATTTTTGATTCGTGATATGCATTGCTAAGAACTTCATTTGAACAACTTTAAAGATGATTTTCTCAATATTTAGATTTTTTTGCACCCTCAGATTCCAGATTTTCTAATATTGTTCTATCCTAACAAACCATACATCAATGGAAAGATTATTTATTCAGCTTTCAGATGATGCATACATCTCAATTTCACAAAATTGACCGTTAATGACTGGTTTTGTGCTCCAGGGTCACACTGATATGTAAGAAGGGTATGTTTCCTCATCTCTCTGTTCAGGACGTGGTTCTGCGGCGTGTCCGCTGGAGGCTCTCGTCTCAGGATCTCGGAGCAGCAGGAGTTCACACGCTGCCGGATCAAACATCAGAACGCTGACAGCAGCGCTTCAACCCAGTCTGTTTATTAATGCAGTTCAAGTACTCCAAAAAAATTACATCTCTTTGCACGATACGTTCTGAAATGTTACGTAAAAATTTTCAAAGTGAACAAAAATTTAGGTACTGTATAAAACACAGTGAACATTAACAGACAGTATTAATCTTCTTGTTTTTTTGTTCTGGTTTTTCATTCGTTTCTCAATTTTAGTGTTCGGCCTATTTTCACCTACGACATCTGGACTCGATTAAGATGTTTTTTCAGTGCACTGTTCCTCTATGAAATTTCACCAAGACTATGTAAAAATGAAAAAAAAAGTCAAATACAGGCAAATATTTTCCAATCCAGACCGCGGCGAAACCACCGAGCCGGGTTTCTTCCTCGCAGATGGCAGTACGGTGCGGTCGGCCTGGACTCACAACGCTAAAACAAAAGAACAGTATCAAAACCAACAGAAATCCTCCAGTTACTGTACAGAGTTCATATGAGAGACCAGTCCGTCTCCACGATGATGATGATGATGAAGGTGTGTTTCTGTCAGAGTCTGTAAACTAAACGTGCTAATGTGACCGCAAGAATCCTTCACTTTCCCATGCTGCTCAGTGACTGCAGGTTTCTTCATGATCGTACTGTTAAAAACACAATCTCAAGTCTGCGCTGCTCTTCATGCACACGTTCTTCATCAGTGGAGTGTGGTGAATGTGAGTGTATGGCAGGCCATTTTAACATTTAATCCTTACAACATACTAGCATCTACTCGCACACTGCTAGTACTTATTCTTTAGCTACGAGTACCTCTTAAAAAAAAAGATAACAGTACCTATTCATTAGATACTAGTACACACTTATTAGATACTAGTATGTATTCCAAATGCTACTGGCAAGATTTTTCATTTTACTAGAAAGATTTTTAATGAGCTCTACAGTGGCCATTCTGACTAATTAAAACAGAAAACGAGTTTTAAAAAAAAGTGACTATTAAGGTAAGAAGAGTTATACTAGCAACAATTACAAAAGACGTGTCTAAAAAATAAGTACCTAAAACTAATGACTAACAAATAACTAAGTATGTACTAGTCTATCTATTGAATGCTTACTAGTAATATTTAAAAACATTAGTCACATTATGAATGCATACTAGTCAGAACTGAAGTTAATATCTGAATGACAGATCCCCATAGAAATGGCAACAATTTGAAATGTGCTACTAGGAACAACATAATAGTTACTAGTCACCACTGAAATAGGTACTAGTAACCTTTTAAAGATACCCGTATTTATTAGATACTAGTACTTAAATAATAATATACCTAGTACCTACAGAATAAGCACCAGCAGCTAATGAATAAGTACTAGAATCTTATGAATAAAAATGAATACCTTTAAAAAGTAGTACCTACATAATAAGCATGGGTAGCTGAAGAGGTTTTGAGGATTAAATGTTGAACGGGCTTGCCATAGAGGTGTGGAGCTATATACAAACAAACACGAACGCACACAGAATGAAGCATGTAAACGGCGGACTGACGCAGAGCCGCCTCCTTCGTTAGCATTTTTGAGTCCACTAGCAACAATTACAAAAGACGTGTCTAAAAAATAAGTACCTAAAACTAATGACTAACAAATAACTAAGTATGTACTAGTATCTATTGAATGCTTACTAGTAATATTTAAAAACATTAGTCACATTATGAATGCATACTAGTCAGAACTGAAGTTAATATCTGAATGACAGATCCCCATAGAAATGGCAACAATTTGAAATGTGCTACTAGGAACAACATAATAGTTACTAGTCACCACTGAAATAGGTACTAGTAACCTTTTAAAGATACCCGTATTTATTAGATACTAGTACTTAAATAATAATATACCTAGTACCTACAGAATAAGCACCAGCAGCTAATGAATAAGTACTAGAATCTTATGAATAAAAATGAATACCTTTAAAAAGTAGTACCTACATAATAAGCATGGGTAGCTGAAGAGGTTTTGAGGATTAAATGTTGAACGGGCTTGCCATAGAGGTGTGGAGCTATATACAAACAAACACGAACGCACACAGAATGAAGCATGTAAACGGCGGACTGACGCAGAGCCGCCTCCTTCGTTAGCATTTTTGAGTCCTGAGTGTTGTCAACAAAACTGTAACTGTAAATTTCTTATCGACAGTAGAAGAAATAATCTGTTCTCACATATAATACAGCTAATATCGTTTCTCTATACAGCCGCGCGTCTGCGGAAAAGGGAAGGCGAAACGTTTCTGCTCTTATAAAATAAAAGTCCTTTTCCGTGCTGAAGCTCCGCACGAATCCTTAAAAAGATGTTTGATAGCAAACCAGGAGTCTTGAGAGGAGTTCATGAAGGATGACAGGAGACGCTCTATCTACAAATACCCCGGTAAACCTTGGCACTCGAGGGTAAAACAGAGAAATGATGTGAGGACAGAAGTCTGAGGAAGCGTTATGGACTGGTGCTCCTGTAAAGAGGCTCTCAGCGTCTCATCTGGCCCATCTGGTAGTTATCCCGGGGCTGGCGCTGGCGCTGGGCCTGGCGTGGAGCGGGCCGCTGGTTCTGGTGAGCGTGCTGGTGCTGGTGCTGGTTCTGGTTCTGCTGCTGATGCTGCTGCTGCTGCTGCTGCTGCTGCTGAGCTCGTCGTCTCTTCAGAGTACCTTCACCAGACAGACAGAGAGAGAGAGAGAGAGAACGACTCTTCAGCATCACAAACACACGGCCTTCACCTCAAATACTCATTTCTGAGACCACAGACCAAAACATCCAACAAAATCATGTTCTTTAACTCCTGACCGTAGTCGAACCAAACCAACGGAAACTCTTCAGCTGATAATATACTTTGACTATGGTCAGAAGTAAATGAACATTTTCAACTGATTGGGATTAGAATAATAATATTTACAGGGATGTTTATTATTGGGATATAAACAATTATATGTATCACTATTATTATTATTTCTAAGGTAGAAATACATTAGTATTGTAATACTGTAAAATATTCTGAAAAAAGGGGCATACAAATTTTAATATAGCCCTTTAAATATTATTATTTGTATTACTATTATTATTTCTAAGAAATAAACATACTACTATTATAATACAACCACAGTGTTAAATAAAATATTAATTGAAAAAAATGTATTGTTTTTGATGAAAAACACACAAAAATAAGTTTACTTTTGACTACAATCAAAGTATTTTGATTTTCATATAAAATGAAGCTCTGATTGGGATAATAATAATATCCCAATAATAAACTTTATATTCTACTAAAAAGATTTATTATTATTATTATTTCTAAGATGAGTATTGTAATTAGTATTGTACAACTACACTAAAATAAAAAAAAAATTACTTTTAAAAGCATTTTGTTTTTATACTTAGTCATTTTACAATACTTATAGTTAATTTCTTCAATTGTATGAGTTCAAGGTTTTATTTTGGCAAAAACTGCAGAGAGACCTTTACGTTTCTGACAGGAGTTTTACAAACGCATCTCGTTACAAATCTACATGCATGAAAGCGTGAACTGCTGTAATCATCTGTCCACAAACAGGTTGGAGATTGTGAAAAAAGTGTAACATTGCATTGCCAAAATGCATGTTAACCTCGCAGCACATGCAGAGATTGAGTTTGCTGCATTTACTCTGAAGTGAGATGTGAAAGCACTGGATATAAACACTTGAATACAGCGCTTCACTCTGGATCTGGTATCGGTGTATCCATACTGCAAAAACCCCCACTGACTCGGTTTCAAATGTCTCAGTACTGGACTGTGAGGAGATACGTTACCTGGCAGAGGTTTAGGAGGAGGCAGTTTGGGGTTGCTGCTGGGCGTGTGAACACTGCAGATCTTAATGAATCCGGCCATCAGCATGATGAGAGCGATTCCCATCAGCAGAACTGCCCACCAGTGAGCCTGAGACACAGACACAGAATAAACACACGCTCCGAGAGATAAACCTAGAATAAACACTCGCTCCGAGAGATAAACCCAGAATAAACACTCTCGGACACGAACACCGAATAAACACTCGATAAACACAGAATAAACACTCTCGATAAACACAGAATAAACACTCTCGGACACAAACACCGAATAAACACTCTCGGACACAAACACCGAATAAAAACTCTCGGACACGAACACCGAATAAACACTCTTGGACACAAACACAGAATAAAAACTCAGACATAAACACAGACACACACACACACACAGAATAAACACACACACGAGCAGAGATGAAGGGACACGCACCACGATCCACTCTGCGATGTTCTCGTACAGCTCCGGGTTGAAGATGGCCTTCTTCAGGCGCGCCAGAGGACCGTCAGCGTCCACCAGACGGCACTTCATGAAGACGTCGCAGTAGCCCTTGAAGTCGTTGCAGGGTGAGCCGGCCTGAAGAGTAGTGACCTTCTTATTGAAGAAGCGGGCGAGACGCTCAGAGCCCGTGCTGCTGCAGGTGCTGGGGTTCACTGCGGAGACAGGTTTGTATTGTGAGAACAGTTTCTGATTTAAACTAATGAAGTGTGTTGCCAGTAGGGGAGTATCTTTAATTTAAGCACAGTTATTTAATTCAGTGGTGTTTATTACACAGCTCTCTATGATATGTGGTTCTGATTGGTCAATCGCAGCATTTAGTAATCATATTCACTGAAAAAACACAATCCTGTTTCATGCAACTGGCACCATCTTGTGTTTCATTTAGTGATTGCACTGAAAAAAGAAATAATAAATGAATGCAAGGTACAGTATCATTCTCCAAACATTCCTGTGTATGCATAATATCTCCAAAACAAATATGAACTTGATTAAAAATCAGTGCTCTCCAATTTATGGATAATACAGGACTCTGAACTAGGCAGCATGACCTTCATAAATGCAACGTGCATTTGGTTCTGATAATTATAATAATCCTATATTATTATTAATCATCAATTGATTATGAAATTGTGTCATGTTAAAGCATTCTGAATCTTGATGGAAATTAAGCTACTGTGAGAAGAGAGACGTGTAAGAAATTACAGTAATATGCAATGTAGAATTATTAGCAGTGTTTTAAACAGGGTTTCGGCAGGTTTTGTTCAATTTAAGCGTTTTTAAAGACCTTTTTAAGAAAGACCCTACAGGTGCATCTCAATAAATTAGAATGTCGTGGAAAACGTCATTTATTTCAGTAATTCAACTCAAATTGTGAAACTCGTGTATTAAATAAATTCAGTGCACACAGACTGAAGTAGTTTAAGTCTTTGGTTCTTTTAATTGTGATGATTTTGGCTCACATTTAACAAAAACCCACCAATTCACTATCTCAACAAATTAGAATATGGTGACATGCCAATCAGCTAATCAACTCAAAACACCTGCAAAGGTTTCCTGAGCCTTCAAAATGGTCTCTCAGTTTGGTTCACTAGGCTACACAATCATGGGGAAGACTGCTGATCTGACAGTTGTCCAGAAGACAATCATTGACACCCTTCACAAGGAGGGTAAGCCACAAACATTCATTGCCAAAGAAGCTGGCTGTTCACAGAGTGCTGTATCCAAGCATGTTAACAGAAAGTTGAGTGGAAGGAAAAAGTGTGGAAGAAAAAGATGTACAACCAACCGAGAGAACCGCAGCCCTATGAGGATTGTCAAGCAAAATCGATCAAAGAATTTGAGAGAACTTCACAAGGAATGGACTGAGGCAGGGGTCAAGGCATCAAGAGCCACCACACACAGACGTGTCAAGGAATTTGGCTACAGATGTCAACTGGACTGTTGCCCAGTGGTCCAAAGTCCTCTTTTCAGATGAGAGCAAGTTTTGTATTTCATTTGGAAACCAAGGTCCTAGAGTCTGGAGGAAGGGTGGAGAAGCTCATAGCCCAAGTTGCTTGAAGTCCAGTGTTAAGTTTCCACCGTCTGTGATGATTTGGGGTGCAATGTCATTTGCTGGTGTTGGTCCATTGTGTTTTTTGAAAACCAACGTCACTGCACCCGTTTACCAAGAACTTTTGGAGCACTTCATGCTTCCTTCACACTGCCAAAAGCACCAAAAGTTGGTTAAATTACCCTGGTGTTGGTGTGCTTGACTGGCCAGCAAACTCACCAGACCTGAACCTCATAGAGAATCTATGGGGTATTGTCAAGAGGAAAATTAGAAACAAGAGACCAAAAAATGCAGATGGGCTGAAGGCCACTGTCAAAGAAACCTGGGCTTCCATACCACCTCAGCAGTGCCACAAACTGATCACCTCCATGCCACGCCGAATTCAGGCAGTAATTAAAGCAAAAGGAGCCCCTACCAAGTATTGAGTACATGTACAGTAAATGAACATACTTTCCAGAAGGCCAACAATTCACTAAAACAGTTTTTTTATTGGTCTTATGAAGTATTCTAATTTGTTGAGATAGTGAATTGGTGGGTTTTTGTTAAATGTGAGCCAAAATCATCACAATTAAAAGAACCAAAGACTTAAACTACTTCAGTCTGTGTGCATTGAATTTATTTAATACACGAGTTTCACAATTTGAGATGAATTACTGAAATAAATGAACTTTTCCACGACATTCTAATTTATTGAGATGCACCTGTAAAAGGAATAAATTAAGGGAACACAATCTGTCATTATGTTTTCTTAATGAGTTGTATTAGTGGCACTTCAAAGTTTGAAAATACAACTTCCAACAGATCTCTTTTACTTTTTAATTCATTAAAAAATAGCTCAGCTACAACATTAAAACAACTTCTACTGTATCTTCTGATCACACTGCAAAAAGTGCTGCTCTTCTTCAGTATTTTAGTCTTGTTTGCCAGTGCAAATGTCTGAATGCATATGATAATAAATAATAACAGGCTCAGAAAAATCAACTTAATTCAAAGAGAAACAAGTTTTCATTCCTCATTAGCAGATATTTGTTCTTGTTTTTAATAATAAACTCACTTCACTATGCTTAGAAAACTAGACTTCTTCATTTTGCATCTCCAGTAAACGCATCTTGAATTAAGGATGTTTAGATATTTGAACTGTAAAACAAGACAAAAATACTGAGGAAGATGTCATTTAATGCCGTGACTTCATGAATTTCAGACGTTCAGCTCTCTTATTTTGTAGAAGCGTGCATTGAGACTGTTAAAGACCTGCAGGACCCCTGTCTGAGTGTGCATATGATATTGGTGATATACATCACAATCTGAAGCTCTGTACTGACTTCTCTCCATGCAGCACACGTGGCAGAGCTCGGTCTCGTCTTTGCCATCCATGCTGGCGCAGGTGCAGACCTCCAGCCCGTACTTCTCACAGATGGAGCCGGAGCAGCCCTGAAACACAGAGAGCAGGAGTGAGACGCTCCGTCACACCAGGGCTGTGTTCGGTACATCGATACCACGATGTAACGGCAGAGATTTGACGATACGAGTATTGATATACAGCTGTCTCAGTATCGATATCACGGCACATGCACAGCAGTGGACTGTGCTTAATTTGAACACCTTTAAAATGGAGTAGAAAAGTGCAAGGTTTCTGAAAAATAATGAATAGAGTATAATATATTGGCTACAACAAGGTTTAATCTGGCCGCAGAGGAACACAATCAGGGTTTGCCTGATATAAAGAGACGTAATCCCCGAAACAGAGACTCACACTTGCGCAATACAGAATTATCTCTAAGTACGCACGCCCTCTCTCTCCACTTAACGCGCTTGCTTTCTGAAAGCACTGGTTAGCTTGCAGTTCAGCGATCTCCACTTCAATATTCTATTCTCAGAAGTGTAATTCCTCAACTGTTCATTTATGAGAGAGAGGCTGTGTATGTATGAATTACCACCATTTTGCTATGTTTCTCTATTAACAGTGAAGCTGTGGCTTTAATAGCATTAGAAACAATGATGCTCCCAGCTCCTTGTTGAGAAAGATAATGTAGCTCTTCAGCGGTTAAGCTATTTTATTGATAAAATTGCGGGCAGCACTGTTCTGTGTTGCTGAATGTGCTTGAGCTACAGTGAAGACAGCGCATTAGTTTAGAACGCTTCTAATTTTTTATTTTTTTAAGCGCAGAGAGTGTGTAAATTTGTGCAATGATAACCTACCAGCAATGTAAAGATGATTTTTTTTTTTATATTAGAATGAGTACATTACAATATAAGAGTACATTATTATTTGTGGGCCTAAAAACAAGATGCAAACAATCAGAATATTGTACCTGGTGGAGAGTGCCCAATATTAACATGAAACATACGCCATTACTTATATAGTATCTTATTATGTTACAGTTCTGGAGGCCCTTCATAATGCAGAGGTCAACTGCCTGTTCTGCTAATAGTCAGCAATGACCCTGTAGTATGCAGTGTTAAATAAACAGCTGTTTACTGAATTCTGCTGAGGTGAAATTCAGTGCAGTCCTGTATCGGCATTCTTATCGTATCATGACTTTGCTGGTGATACACAGCCCTATCACACACACAATCACACACACACACAAACACACACTCGCACACGCACACACAAACACTCACGCACACTCGCACACACGCCTAAGGCACACCTGTGCAATAATCATGCTGTCTAATCAGCATCTTGATATGCCACACCTGTGAGGTGGATGGATTATCTCGGCAAAGGAGAAGTGCTCACTAACACAGATTTAGACAGATTTGTGAACAATATTTGAGAGAAATAGGCCTTTTGTGTACATAGAAAAGTCTTAGATCTTTGAGTTCAGCTCATGAAAAATGGGGGCAAAAACAAAAGTGTTGCGTTTATAATTTTGTTCAGTGTAGTATTATTGTTTCATACTTTAATTATCATTAAAACCATATTCGATTACTGCGATTTGAACAACGGAGGATACATAAATACTGTCCAGCATTAGGCATAGTATTCAGTGACAGTGTCAGGTGCGCACAGCAGCAGAGTAGTTTAGTTTTGTGTGAAAATATGGAGGAACACTGGGAGGTTTTATAAGAGTGCTAAGGGAATTATACAAATTAATATGAATGAATTAATTATATGTACCTCTGAAGGTTCTGACTGTCTTCAGAAAAAATTAGATGGCATTTTGTTTTCACCTTCGCTCCATGTAATACCTAATAAACTAGTGTTCATTACTGGAAGCAGCTGTAATTCTGCTGCTCCATCAGCGCCACCTGCTGGCAGAGAGTGGATTTACAGAGACTCACATTTTGTGTGCAGTTTCTGTCTGGACTAAAACCAGATCAGCTTTGCATGGCCTGCTGTAAATTTTGACCGGTTGATGAAAAACAAGCTTATGTGGATTCTACACATTTAAACAATTCGGATAAGGTATTTATAGAATTATTTATGGAGCAGATAAAATACAGATAATCATTTATTTATCAGTTATCATTTTGACTTAACCCTTTTCTTTATTTAAAGGCTGAAATGTGAGCTTTACCATTTTATGAAACTTTTTCAAAGTTTATTTGAACATTTCGTACATGTTATTAGATAAACTGCTGTCAGTTGTGTTGTCATTTAAAATCCGGACATCATTGGTAATGTTATTGTTTTAGTGTTTATGCAAACAAAAAGTCATTATATGTGTTGATTTTAAATATAAAACTTGCAGTGATTTATGTGTCAGTAGTTTTTGAACATTTCCAGCACATTTTAACGATACCGTGATAATACTGATAACCGCGATCATTTAGGTCACTATAATGGTGATATGAAGTTTTGACAGCGCTGCGGATCACTCACCCCGTTCAGGCAGACCTGCGTGTCCCCGTGGCAGGCGGTGAAGTTGGCTTTGGGCTCTGAGGTGGGGCACTGGGCCGAGGCGCCGTTACACATGCCCTGATGAGCGCACTCAGACTCCTCGCGACACTTCTCGTTCCGGCCCTTGTAGGAGCACTCGGCCGTGCAGCAGGGGCCCTGACTCGGACTGCACACACACAGCAAATCAACACATCCAGGCGTCATGCACATGCTTACAGTGAACTTCCACGACTTCTCACACAATCTTCATGACCTAATGTTCTGCTACTTTACAATAAGAATAAAAATCTGCTCAAATTTATCATAGCATGTTTACTAAAATGAATGACTATTAATGCTACTTCTTTGTTTTCTAGTTGTTTTACTAAGTGCAAGCTGCGATTGCGCCAGACGTTACTCCATGCAGAGAACATTTCATCACATCACTCAATATTGTAATTTAATCAATATTATGAGTTAAACACAGGACCTGAATTTCATTTGGGAAACTATTTCAGTCTAACAGTAGAATTCAGGTACAAAAACATAAAAAAATGTAATGAACTATAAAATAAAAAACTGTTTAAAGTTTAAAAAGTTATTCAGTCAAGAGCAGTGCATGATTTTCTGTGTTTTGTTGTTTGATAATCATTAATGACAGACAGCACAGGTGTATTAATGCTGCACCCGACCCGTGTCCGAGGCACTCTTAGAAGTTTTGGACCCGAACTCGCTCGGGCCTTGGGTTTTGGATCCAAGTGGATAGGGCCTTTTCCACCACGGGAACCTTTTCATAGTACCAGAACTAATTGTGGAACTACCCACTTTTCAGCTCGTTCGCACCGCCGGAACTGGGAGCGATTTTAGTACCGGACTGCCTTTTTCGAATTATTTATTCAGCTTTCAGATGATGCATAAATCTCAATTTCACAAAGTTGACCCTTATGGCTGGTTGTGTGCTCCAGGGTCACATATGCTGATTTGCTGCTCGAGAAACATTTCTGATTATTATCAATGTTGAAAACGGTTGTGCTGCACAATATTTTTGTGGAAACTGTGATACGTTTTATTTTTCAGGATTCACAGATGAACAGAAAGTTCAGAAGAACAGCATTTATTTGAAATAGAAATCTACTGTAACATTATAAATGTCTTTACTGGCACTTTTGATCAATTTAATGCATCCTTGAATTGATGAATGAAAGTAAGGCTGGGCGATACGGCAACAAAAAAAAAAAAAGAACGTTCGACTGATTCTCGATTTTTATGATTTTTTAACTAGTTAACTTGAAAATGTAACTACAACATGATTGAATTAACTTTTTTTGTTTATTAACCCTCTAGTTAAAGAAAATTATATTCCAAGTGCAGCACACAAAGTAAATGTTAAACTAATCACTTGTTAAATATCTCTGCAGAAAAGATGCATAAACTACAACTACATCTTGTACAAATTTGTCTTATACACATTATATATTCAGAAATAATAAGAGGAAAATGCTTTAAAAATTCTCAAGAGTCAAGGTAATTCAAATTCAAAATGACTGAAGGTATAACACCAGTAGACTTTTATTAACTATAAATGTTCTGTAAACAGCAGTTTCAGTCAGTCACCGTGATGCAAACATGAAATATCTGTATATTATACTGTATATTAATCATCAGCAGACGCTCGTGCTGTCAGGTGTTAGTGGCGTCTCCTCCTCATCCTCCTCCTCCTCATCCTCATCTGAAGCTGGATGTGTGGTAGCTCCTGCCTCAGCCCAGGCTCTTCTGACACACTTCAGCTCAGAGAAGCGCTCCGGACCGAATCCGCAGCGAACATCGACGGGAACCGGCGGATTTGCGGGAATAACGGAATAACGGTCGCGTTAGCGTTAGCATTAGCAGGCTGCTATCGCGCAGCATCACCGAATCAGAGCCGAACCGCTCCAAACACACGCGCACACTCACCTCGAGCGGACCTGAGGGAGCACAGGAGCCACAGCAGCACCGACAACACGGCCGTCATCGCGGACAAACGCATCTTTAGCGCATGGATGATGGACGGGGTTGGGTTTTATTGTTTACAGCTTCAGTCCAGGTTCGGGGGCTTTGCGTGCTGACGTCAGACGCACAGAGAGCGTCAGCGAGCCCCTCCCCCACGCATGTACTCCGCAAGCGCGAGATTTACAGCAAAGACTGAAAAATGCATTAACAAACATATTTGCAATATTTTCCAAAAACAAAATGAAATATCTCCTAGAGGGATTTTTTTTGTAACTCTATAATTGAGAATTGCTGGTTAATTCATTTTAAATACTGCATTAATAATACAATAAAATACAATAATACATTTCATAATTCCACATGCCATGTACCCTTCTGATTAATTAATATGAAGATTCACTGATAGTGATGATGCATGCTGCTTGTGTAATGCGTCTCTTATTTTCTGACTGTAAGTCCTAAACAGGTTTTGGATGGATTTGGCAGAGTTTATATTTAGTTTAATGAATATTAATTGCTTTAATTTAAAGGATGTTATCTTGTATTATGAAAAAAAAGCAATAAAGATCTAGAATTTGTTGTTAACCTTTTTATTTTATTGGCAACCTTTCAAACACATAAACAAAAATGCCTATGTTAAATTAGTTTTGTTCTGATTATGACTTTTATATTTCTTCAGTAAGACGAATGTTTAAGACACTATACACAATCTTCAATCCCCCAGTGTTTTATAATATCTTTATTTGTTCAATAAGTTTTACATGTACCTTACTGAGCTCTAGGACAGCCTGAATGTTTTAGTTTCATGGTAATAGTATCCTTTTTAAAGATACTAGCACTTATTCTTTAGATACTACAGTAGTTCTTGTTTATTAGATACCAGTACTTATTACAATAGTGACTAACATTTAATTATACTTATTAGGAAAAACTAGAACCTGGTTCTTATATTTTAGTTAGGCTTATAGTAACTTTTTAAACAAGGATATCATGAACTCAATACTAGGGCTTTTTAAATGCACATTTCTGCTCAGTATGATAATAATATGTTGAATATCAATAAATGTTTTTTTAAGGAGCTCTTGGTACATACATGCATACATACATATCTGACATGAGAACAGAAAGGATTAAATAATTAAGACTAAAATTGTCACGAATCCGGTCCATGAACTTCCGTCGGCTAACCATCAAAGGTCGCCCTTCCCATTTTCATTGACTCTCGCACTCACACTGTTGCATATCTTCCCGGACTACATATCCCATCATTCACAGCACTGATTGCACACAGCTGGTTCACTAATTGCATAACACTGATTGCACCCAGCTGTTTCATATCCCTCCCTCACTATTTAACACTCACTCTGATCCCTTCCCTCTGCCGAGTATTGTTTAGCGCATATCTCCAGATAGCTACACTACACAGCCCTCATTCGTTTCCCTGCCTTAGCCTTAGCCTTAGCCTTAGCTGTTTTCTCGGTTCCTGATCTTCGCCTGGTTTCCTGGATTTCTCCCTTTAGTCTTGTCCCTCCTGATTCTGTTTGCCGTTCATTGACCTACGCTAGCCCTAGGACTATTCTTGTGTCTTGCCCGCCATATACCTGTTTGACCCTACCTGCTTTATGACCACGTCTCTGTCTTCTCCAAATAAAAAGCCTGCATATGGATCTGCACGTCTCACGTCTTGTCAGCCCCGTAACAGAATACTCGGCCACACAAGGATCCAGCAGCTTCTTGGATGGACATTGACCAGGTATGGATGTGGCAAGAATATTGTTAGCCCTTAAACAGGGCACACGATCACTGGAGGGTTACATTGAGGAATATTTGGCTTTGGCTAATGGCTCAGAATTACCGGACTGTATGTTAATTGACTTTTTCTGTGATGGCCTTAACCAGCCTTTAAAATCAAGAGTGATTCATGAGGGTCCTCGTTTGTCACCTGAGTAGTTTTTTGGATCATGTTTTGGTTCAGCGTTCACGGTGGGTGTCGTGGAGGAACGCGACACCGCACTCATTCCTGTAATGGCAGCCGCACTGGAGCACGCTCACAAAATGGCAGCGACAGCGGAGCCTGATCGCAAAATGGCGGACACAACAGCGCCCCGTTATGTCACCGCTGTCAATCCTGAGTCAAGTGAGGTCACCGCTTATCTTCATGAACCAAGTCAAGTCACAGTTGACCGTCACGAGTCAAGTCTAGTCACAGTTTATGATCATGAGTCTAGTCAAGTCACAGTTGATCGTCATGAGTCAAGTCTAGTCCCAGTGGATCATAATGAGTCGGGTCTAGTGGTATTTATTACAAACAGCATGGTTAAACTATGGTTAGTGTAGCAAAACCATGGTTCATTTGTGGTTACCATGATTAAACTATAGCAACCATGGTTTTTAAGTTTAATTTGTAGACATGAAAAAATACTATAGTAAATCCTAGTGTTTTTGAGCCATGCTATAGTAAAGTACTTGAATTAATTTTCTGTGGTAATATAAACAAATTACCCAATAAGTTTTCTACAACTATAGGGTGTATTATACTACAGTTCACTGTAGTAAAAACAAAAGAATACTACAGTATTAGTTTATCAGTTCACTACAGTTACAGTATGCTGTTGTAATGACGATTCATTGACGTTGGGATCCATGTGCAGCTTTATTAACAATCAGACAGGCAGAGTTTAGTCAACAGCATACAGGGGTAACGTAGGCAAGGCAGAATCATAACCAGAGTCCATGCAAAGGGGTCGAGGCCGGCGGCAGACAGAGGAGAGAGTAAATCCAAACACAGAGCAAGGTCAAAGAGGCGGGCAGTGAACAATCAGACAGGTCTAAACAATCCAGGTAGGCAACAGGTAATCAAACAAGGTATGAACGCTCAGTAATGTCAGCAGTAGCAAAAACAAGACTTCGCAATGAGGGTAAGGTAGGCACTGCCTATATAGTCATGGTAATGATCAGCACCTGTGCAAGTAATCAACGTCAGGCATGGGGTGATGGGAAATGAAGTCCTAAGGAACAGTTAGTACTCCGGTGAGGGTTCCCTCTGGTGGGGATCGGAGGGAGCCACGGATGCTTGATTTGTGACAGAGCAGGATGGGAGCTGTGGTGAATCTCTCCGTGAGCTCTTGGAATGCGGACCTGGCGGCCGGGGTCCAGACGAGACGATGTCTCCCCTTCTTGATCATCGATGTCATGGGTGCTGCAATTGTGCTGAAATTGAGTAGTTTTTTGGATCATGTTTTGGTTCAGCGTTCACGGTGGGTGTCGTGGAGGAACGCGACACCGCACTCATTCCTGTAATGGCAGCCGCACTGGAGCACGCTCACAAAATGGCAGCGACAGCGGAGCCTGATCGCAAAATGGCGGACACAACAGCGCCCCGTTATGTCACCGCTGTCAATCCTGAGTCAAGTGAGGTCACCGCTTATCTTCATGAACCAAGTCAAGTCACAGTTGACCGTCACGAGTCAAGTCTAGTCACAGTTTATGATCATGAGTCTAGTCAAGTCACAGTTGATCGTCATGAGTCAAGTCTAGTCCCAGTGGATCATAATGAGTCGGGTCTAGTGGTATTTATTACAAACAGCATGGTTAAACTATGGTTAGTGTAGCAAAACCATGGTTCATTTGTGGTTACCATGATTAAACTATAGCAACCATGGTTTTTAAGTTTAATTTGTAGACATGAAAAAATACTATAGTAAATCCTAGTGTTTTTGAGCCATGCTATAGTAAAGTACTTGAATTAATTTTCTGTGGTAATATAAACAAATTACCCAATAAGTTTTCTACAACTATAGGGTGTATTATACTACAGTTCACTGTAGTAAAAACAAAAGAATACTACAGTATTAGTTTATCAGTTCACTACAGTTACAGTATGCTGTTGTAATGACGATTCATTGACGTTGGGATCCATGTGCAGCTTTATTAACAATCAGACAGGCAGAGTTTAGTCAACAGCATACAGGGGTAACGTAGGCAAGGCAGAATCATAACCAGAGTCCATGCAAAGGGGTCGAGGCCGGCGGCAGACAGAGGAGAGAGTAAATCCAAACACAGAGCAAGGTCAAAGAGGCGGGCAGTGAACAATCAGACAGGTCTAAACAATCCAGGTAGGCAACAGGTAATCAAACAAGGTATGAACGCTCAGTAATGTCAGCAGTAGCAAAAACAAGACTTCGCAATGAGGGTAAGGTAGGCACTGCCTATATAGTCATGGTAATGATCAGCACCTGTGCAAGTAATCAACGTCAGGCATGGGGTGATGGGAAATGAAGTCCTAAGGAACAGTTAGTACTCCGGTGAGGGTTCCCTCTGGTGGGGATCGGAGGGAGCCACGGATGCTTGATTTGTGACAGAGCAGGATGGGAGCTGTGGTGAATCTCTCCGTGAGCTCTTGGAATG